GCGCGAGACGGGGCTAAAATTGTGCAAATCTGCGTTACCCACTTAGCAAAATGTGGATATTGGCTACGTAGTTCAATGTCCACGTTTTCAATGTCCACAGAGGGCGTATCGCATTCGCCAATCACGAAAAACGGGGCCGTGACATCTCTCAGGCTTCTCCGTGCGTTCTTTTAGGCATCGGATACAGCAGTTTTTGCAGTAATTCATTCTTTTAGCCCGACTGCGCAGTCGACTGCACCGCAGATTTCCGTCAGCCGGCAAATCCGATGCGCAGCGGTTGCCAAATCCGATGCCTAAAAGAACGCACCCTCTCTCTGAACCTACTCTCTTTCCAACTGTTACTTCAGAATGAGACAAAGAACGAATTAAGCCGAGCTTAAAGTTAAACAACATTGGTGAAACCGGGCCCTAGGAATCCCCCAAACGTGGGATAAAATACATAAAATTCAAATAACGTTTACGCGGTTTTACACGTCACGGCGTCCATTTTGTTTTCGGAACACGCAGATGGCTGCAGAACGCCCGTCTAGCTCACGCGGATTGTCGATGACCAATTAATTACGCACGCTCCCGCATACCGCGTAGCCGTGTAGAATAGTGTAGATGGTGCGAGGACTGCGGGGGATCGCGATCGGGTCTCCTCACTGACCGTACGGTGAATTATTGTTGCGACGAACGTGCCCGAGGCGGGAAAAAGAGAGAACGGCGCGGCGATGCTGAATCAGGCGGTGGTGGAGGCGCTTTATTCGGCGACGTACATCGAGAACTACCTGGACTGCGTGGAAAATCTGCCCAATGACCTACAGAGATACGTCTCCCGTCTCCGCGAGCTAGACGCCACTTGTCAAAGTAAGCTCGACCGTGCTCCCGGGGCTCCCTCGATCGCTGACGGCTCGCCCGTGTTCCCGGCTGCTCCCCGAACCGGCGGCTCGACACTCTCTTGCGATTCTCTCTGATAGATACCTCGCGTGGCCTCTTCCGACCGACACGTTTCCCACTCTAGATTGTTTACAGATTTAGCAGCGATCTCCGATGGCTCCGCATGAAATTTATATAATTTGTGAATACAAGAGGATGCCTCGGTCAACGTGAAAAGTATGACACCCCAATTTCCTTGGACGACTCTCCGGGTCATCTCGCCAACTTTTGTCGTTTCATACGTCGTCTACAGTGCGTGGGGTTGGGCAGGATTCACGCTGGATTCGATACCCAATATAGTCGGTTTATACTTTCAGATCCAACAAGGAACCAGAAGAAAAACAAACCAATCATATTGGATATCGGATCCAGCGTGAATCCTGCACAAGCCTGGGGTAAGGAGTAGAGTAGGAGCGAGGAGATAAATCAATTTTATTTCTTACTCGTACTTCAGCTCTTACTCTCGGCGAATCGGAACGCCATCGGCCAGTGTTATAATATTTTTTAAATGATGTCTGTATTTAAGCTTTCTTACGCCAAAAGCTAAAGGTTATGGTTCTCTTTTACTCCACGCATTGTAGACGTAACAATAAACAATCCACTCTTAGGAGCCGTGTTAAATCAATTCGAATTTATTGTCGTGTTTTCGCAATGCTAACTGGTACTCTCGGTCTTGGCTCACTTTGTGCTGCGACGTAACTGTCAGTGGTGCAACGATTGAATTTTAACAGCTGTTTAAAATAGCTTGTGTATCAAGTGAATGCTTAAGAAAACTTGGGAAATTGTCTATGACTAGATGAAGAAAAAGTGAACGAAATAGTCAGGTAAACAAGGGAGATAGGACAATCGAGAAAGAATGAATGTGTTAACTTCTGCACATGCTCATTCCTTAATTTTGTTTAAGAATGCGTTTTAGGATAGTTATTGTAAACCTTATTGATTGTTTTATTCCTAGCATATCTACACGAAGTGGACCAGCAACAAGAGGTACTGCGGAATGACGCAGATCCTGTTGTTAAAAGAAGAGCGTTGATGCGCATACAACAAGCCCTGATTGCAGCACAGGAAATAGGAGACGAGAAACTACAGATTGTTCAACAAGTGCAGGATCTTATAGAGAACAAATCCAGGCAGTTGGACGTGGATTATCGAAACTTAGGTATACTTGGTGTTTTTCAAATTGATAAAATAAACATGCGCAATTCTAGCACATTATCGTTGAACTTTTGTCATCTTGTAGACTTTGGAAAGGAGCAAGAAAGCTCGGAATCGGTCCGCGAGTCAAATATGAACAGCAATTCGAATAACGCAAGCCATGCAAACAATACGGAACGTCAGCCAAAACGCGCCAGAAGAACGAGGACTGAAACCTTGATAGAATCGACCCATTCAATGGACATGATGGTCGGGATGACAGAAACGAGGTCTTCGACGTTGTCCAATACGAGCAATGGAAATCAGAAAAAGACGGCGGCGACGGCTACTGGTAAAAAGAAGAAGCGGAAATCTCGGCAAGGCACTCAACAAAACCAGCATCGCGAGGATACTCCGCCTCCACCGGAAGACGATCTCGCTATAGATCCTGACGAGCCGACTTACTGTCTCTGCGATCAGATATCGTACGGCGAGATGATCCTCTGTGACAACGACTTATGCCCTATAGAATGGTTTCATTTTTCTTGTGTTTCTTTGACCACAAAGCCGAAGGGTAAATGGTTCTGTCCCAAGTGTCGCGGTGACCGACCTAACGTCATGAAACCCAAGGCGCAATTTCTCAAAGAACTGGAAAGATACAATAAAGAAAAAGAGGAAAAATCATAGCAACAGCACGGCGGTGAAAGACTTAAGAACTTCTCAAAACTTAATTGGACTTAATCGAGATTTTTGTAAGATAGCTTTTTAATTTCGAGCTGTGAATTAAGATTATATTTTATCGAAATCTCGAATTATATTTTCTGTTATAATTCTACATATTATATTAACTACGATTAAGAGAGCTCTAATCAGTTGTAACAAAGAAATTTATAATTAGAGAACGATATAAATTTTTGCGTTATAAATTATAAAAATACAGACTAGTGCATACATGTATGTGATACTTATGATTGTACATATAACGTAATGCTATTAATATTAAACGAGTCCTACATTTATATTCAAATGCATTTTCTTAGTTTACATTTATTACAATAGGATTGACTTGACATACTCATTTGTTAGATTAGAATGCGTACCGTAGAAGATACTAAGCAAGTATCTTCGCAGAAGAAGCCAATAGTTCAAAAAATACATGACTTATATACAGTATGAACTAATGTAAATAAAAGGTAAAAGTAGCAATGTAAATATAAGATAATTGGACGATTTGAAATAAACATTTCGCATCTCAAAAATGTAGTATTGGAATGTCAAAATATACTTGTTGCATTTTAATGATTACACGATTGAAATAGTAATCTCGTTGGTAAAAGAATCTCTCGTCATTTCTGTAAGAATTGTATCGGACGTACGGCATTTTGTAAACATTTATATTAGCTCATATCAGATAGAGTAAAAAATTCATAAACACGTAATTTCTTGCAAAATTTATTAATTCGATACTATTTAGTATGACATTCATTTACAATCTAATACAAGCGTGACTTTCTAATGGTAAATACCAAGTCGAAAACGAGAAATAATCACACTATTTTCTTATATTTTGCGCCGTTACATGGTGAAAGTAGACTTTCCAGAAGCGACTTACACAGACTTTCATATCTTCTACCACAATTGTATTCTTCAAGCTCGTCTATACTTGTAAAATAGTAAGTCGATTTGCTTGCGTGGATTAACGTATGGCGAAACATTGTACGGGCATTATATTCCTTTTATCTTTTGCGCGAGGGGTATCTAATGGCTAGTTATAAGAGCAAGACAATACATACTGTACTTATAAGTAAAAGATCACATAAGTTTATAGTGCGATTTCACGTCATTCCGCGGCTCCCTACTTTTTCTTTTTATTTTGTTTTTATTTCTTTTTTTTTCAACAGAAAATTAAAACCGTATGAATTCCTCTCGTCGTGAATTCTCTCGTTCTACAGACTGTGAATCAACACACGGAATGTTCGCCACGAAATATCGAAGGGTATTACATATACAGCTCCAACGAAACGTGTCGACCGAATTACCATTATGTATATAATACGGGGACAACTTTTACATTAGACAGAGAAGCTGCGACGGAGATCCCTCTTACGCGTCGTGAATAGTGGCATACTTAATGTCAGCGGGGGTCCTCCGTGTGACTCTCTTGGAAATTCAGCCAAGACTGTTCGACTACAGTGGCCACTCGCTTCTCGTACTCCCGCTTGTTCTCTTGATACAATTGCGCCGCTAAAGAGTTGGCTGGTGAATTAGGATTCGGTTCGTCCAAAAGCGACTGTAACACAAACGGTTGACAAATTCCCTCAGCATGTTACTTCGAATATTCTTAAGTTTTCGGCGGAAAAGTCGAATGCACACGTAAGCACAAATAGGACTGAGAAAGGTCGCCAGGTTGTGGAAAGCGAATATCAGGATACAATTATTAGACTATAAAGTGAAATTATGCATTTATTATTATTATTATCTCTCATTGTTATGTATATATATATTTTTATATATGTATACATATATATATATATATAGGTGAATTTTGTTGTGTATGGTACTGAGAAGTACTAGAATTCAAAGTACAATTCTGCGCCGCCGAAAAGACAGAGGACACTCCTTTCGTAGAGAAGAGAGAAAAAAGGAAATGAAGAAAACAAAAAAAGACAAGCCAAGTATTTTGTTTTAATACTCTAACATTTAATATAGTAACTAATTTTCGTGTATCATCAGATATTCGAAATAAATAAATACGCAATTTTATAATAATTTATTATTCAACATCGTAAAAATTCGGTCTAACGTAGCACATTGTCGTGGTAGTTCGATAGAGCTTTCAGGAAGAAACATGCTAGGTTTGTTTTCCCTTTTCTTTCGTTTTTCTCTTTAACGTTAGCTCCTTGGTAAGGCAGCACGTTCTTCTTCCCTGTATCTGATGGCTGTTGGTGGCTGACTGACGCCGCGACAGCAGCATCGCGTTAACGCCCGCGACTAATCCACAAAACTCTGCTCCACGCAAGCCTTCACTCGTTTCTCGTACTCGCGTCGATTCTCTTTGTACAGTTGCGCTGCCATTGAGTTGGCAGGTGAATTCGGGTTCGGGTCACTTAACAGCGACTGCAATCACATAAGTCGTACTTGATTACACTTCGGAAGAACAAGTTTTTCCGGTAGACTTTTTTTGACAAAGCGCACGACCGCAATCGTAAATGAACATGAGGAACAGGACAATTTGCTCTTTCTTTTCTCCTCTTTCTTTTGTCCTTTCGATGGAAAAATCGATGGAAAAAATGAAGAATGCATATCGATGGGCAATCAAAAGTAGTTACATATAGACGTAGATGTATGCAAGTGTTACGCACAAATAATTTCGAATCGGAATCATGTGATTAGACTTTGCTGAATTGCAACCGCTGTTAAGACAAAACGAACGATCCCTTCAGACATTTTTATCGCAACAGAGATCTCTTGGAAGCGATGTTTCAATGAGGAAACGAGATTTTTAAACAAAAATAAGACAATACAGACACAGATCCTAAAACGACAAATAAAAGAAAAGCAAACAGGACCACGATCTTAACAATTTTCACCTTTTACTTTATCGTATCGCAAACATTTACCTATTGCCATGCAAATTTTTAGCTTCCACAAGATTTACGAGTAAAGTTGTGTACATTGGACCGTATCTTTTCTATAATTTCAATATGTAACACACATTATGCGATAGTGTGGTATTTATCAAGTCGTACAGAGAACAAAATCCACGTAACAGACACGCCAAATGCACAGATTTGTACTTCGACAAAGTGTTTACTCATTAAGTGTCACAATTTGTCGAAGCTCCGTTCCCGGCTGTTTCAAATGTCGGAAGGAAAATAAAGGGCGACAAGACACACGTGTTGCGATAAAGAAAAACCACAGAAACGATAGTACCTGTATAGACGTTAAGATGGCCGAGACGTCATAAGTAGGGCTCCAACGATTTTGAAGTATATCCAGACATATTCCACCATCCGCGTACACATTAGGATGGAACATTTTACTAACAAATCTCACCGTGGGTGGTTTGTTTGGGTATTCTTCTGTAAATTCTATTGTAAGTTTAAATGTGCCATCTTCAAATGGAGTGTCGTGTGGTCTGAAACACAGGTAAACGTCCTTTCGTGAAAAGAAAGAAAAACTTTCGCACACTCGATCCTGCCTCCCCTTCGAGCTCGAAACGAAAATTTTATGCACTGATCCCCTAAAGGCCTGTGTCCACGATGCTA